ATTTAATACCTATGATTTTATGAATTTAGATTTGATTTAAGATCATTTTAGGCTTCGTTTATCAGATTTTTAACACTTAATGGCTTCGCTGGTTGTTTCCGTTCACTCGCAGCCACCAAGCAGACCTAGTCGTATTATTACGTGATATTTAGGGACATAAATAAATACATCACAGGCAATTTCCTTTTACCCAGGCTTCCTGATTCACAGCCGCTTCACTCCGTTCGACTGATTAGCAATAATACACACACCATCGGCAAGCATGAGGTTACGTTTATTAATCATCTGCAGCACTAATGCAGCTTTAAGACGTTCCAGGCGTTACGAGAGAATCCCAGATACGGACAGAAGACGTCTGGAGAGAGGAAAACACACAGTTACACATGAACATCAGGCTCATTTCTCTCTAGTCATAGTTTTCAGTCACGTGACTGGCTCTGTTCCACTCCACAAATATTCAGATCACCTATAAAACAAAGATATGTGAACGAAATGCAAGTTTTGGCCATTAGCAATCCATATAAAGCACCTGCCGCAATACTACTGAAAACAGCAGGACATTCGAAAATGCTTAAAGTGCCTTTAAAACAGATCAAATTCAGTACACCTTATTGCTGATAACCAGATGAGCTCGGAATATGAACGCATGAAGTGTTTGCGTATGGGAAAACATTTAATGTGTAACTTTGTGCATTGCATTTATATTCTGGGTTCATCTGCTTGCCTGTGCAGAGTCTGCATCATCAATAAGGTGTGTACTGAATTTGGCCTTTAAAGGGACAGTTCACCTAAAAATGATAATTAGCCCATGGTTTACACACCGTCAGGCCATCCTAGCTGTGTATGACTTTCTTCTTTCAGACGAATACAATCGGAGTTATATTTATAAACGTCCAGGCTCTTCCAAGCCTTATAATGGCAGTGAATGGGTGTTTTTTGTCAATGGGCTAATTTTCATTTTTGGGTGAACTATCCCTTTAAATATCAATGTCGTACTACATCACTAGTTAATGCAAACCTCGTAAAAATAACTGGCGGTCAGTGGAGGAAAGCCTTGTTTTGTCCTCTGAAAACTATGAATTGTGCCATAAATAACAGCAAAAAGCCCAGAAAATAAAACTGCCCGAAAGGTTCTGGAAACTTCTATAGTGAACATGCATTTATTTACTCTAAAAAAAATTTTTTTGTGAGTACTTTAAACTTAGAAACTTCAGTTTAGTAGAATTAGATTATTTAAAAAAATTCAATTATATTAAACTGACTTAATAAAATTGAGTTGAATCTTGTGTAACTTAAAAAAAATTAAGTTGAAATTGGTTAAATAAAAAATACATAAAGAAATAATTAAATAAACATTAAGTAAAAAATAAATGAAATTAAATAAAAACGGAAATTTATTTAAATTTGATAAGAAAGTAATAAAACAAATCAATTTATACAGTCAGTGTATTAAATGAATGAAGCTATAAAATTCTTATCCTGTAATCATGAACGACTGGAAGAGTAATGCAGATGAACTGGTCCAGAAATGTGTGAATCCTGAATTAACTTCAGTTTTTAGCTGTATGTGTGTGTTCATGTGTGTGAGCATCTGCACGCACCTCGAATACGTCGTCCAGACGCGCCGCAAACGTTCCTCAGCTTCTCTAAGAGAAAGACACGTGTTACTCACAAACACACTGCTGTAATAATAACACAATAACAGCCCTGCATCATATGTGCTCGATCAAACCCAGCGCGTGTTTCTGACTGATTCCTAAAACACTGTGGGTGTTTGTGTTGCCCAAAGTGTGCCCTAGCGAGTGCAGGTTGGAGTTCCCTTGAAAGGGAACATTTGTTACTTGGAATAAAGGCAATTTAAACTACAGTAATTTAAAATGTAAAAAAAAACAAAAAATGTAACTTGTTTTATTTCAGCTAGTCGTCACGGCGATGTTTCTAAAACTGGACTAAAACAATAAAAACTATGGGCATATTTAAAGAAAACAAAAACTAATACAAATAACAAATACACACAACAAAATGACTAAAATTTGAATTAAAATTAAAATGTTAAAATACTGATAAAAACTATAACAGTTTCTCAATATGATACTAAAATAACACTGGTTTTACTGCATCCAAACAGTGATAGAAAATGACAGATTTTGAGGGAAAAAAAGCTTATTTGTCTTTAAATTTGTGATTATGTAAATGCTTTGACATTGAATGGAGTATCTGAGCATATTTTTCCTCTCCTTTGCAGATTGTAAGTTACATGATGTATCTGGAATACTTATTTTTGTGACTCAAACAAACTTTTGACATCTCCCTGCTTTTGATATTTTGATAAGTGCTTTAAAGCCGACACACGGGTCAAAGACGAAAAAGGGTTTCAGCATAAAAACAATGCTGCTTTAAATTGTTGTTTTTCCAAAATTTAGAATGCCCTAGCGAGTGCAGGTTGGAGTTCCCTTGAAAGGGAACATTTGTTACTTGGAATAAAGGCAATTTAAACTACAGTAATTTAAAATGTAAAAAAAAACAAAAAATGTAACTTGTTTTATTTCAGCTAGTCGTCACGGCGATGTTTCTAAAACTGGACTAAAACAATAAAAACTATGGGCATATTTAAAGAAAACAAAAACGAATACAAATAACAAATACACACAACAAAATGACTAAAATTAAAATTAAAATGTTAAAATACTGATAAAAACTATAACAGTTTCTCAATATGATACTAAAATAACACTGGTTTTACTAAAAATAACTTTTTAAATTAAAAAGTTTTCTGTTTCACGTAATTGTATTTTTGTTTTTGTTTTTCTGAGCAAAAAATAAATATGATACATTTTCACCTGATTTACAGAAGGGAGCCACTAAAACCTCATTCAGTGTAACAATCTTGTCAGGCATATTTACAACAAAAATCCATTTATGACTAATTACTTTCACCCCAAACACTAATTAGTTGTAATTTTACGTTTTTTTATCCTAGCTTTTGCCCTTTTGTCAGTAAGACTTTTTTACTCATTTAAAACCCAATAGAATTTAATATGCTCACTCATTATTTTATATATTTTAATGTGTACAGGTCAAAATAAGCATGTTGTCTGAATTTTTACATAACTGTAAGTGTTACACTGAATGACAATGTAACATTATTTCAACCAAATTGTAACATTGTATTCTCCAAAAACTTATTTGAAACCTTAAAAGTAGACACTTTACTTACATTCAATGTGATTATTTAACTAATCATAAATTAAAGCCAGTATAGCCAATATTATATGTATATATATATATATACACACACACACACACACACACACACACACACACACACACACATGTTGTGTTTCCATGTTTTATGGGGACATTCCATAGGCGTAATGGTTTTTATACTGTACAAACTGTATGTGCTACTGCCCTACACCAACCCTACCCCTAAACCTACCCCTCACAGGAAACTTTGTGCAATTTTACTTTCTCAAAAAAACTCATTCTGTATGATTTATAAGCTTGTTTCCTCATGGGGACCTCAAAAATGTCCCCACAAGGTCAAAATTTACTGGTATTACTATACTTGTGGGGACATTTGGTCCCCATAACGTGATGAATACCAGGTGCACACACACACACAGACACACACACACACACACTCACACACACAAGTTTCCACGAATGTGCTAATGATTTCTGTCATATTTTCTAAAAAGCTGCTTTGCATTAGTTGTATTCAGTTTGAGTTCAACGTGAGTCTGTCAGTCGGGTGTTTTTTTAGTTTAGTCAGTGGAGTAGTTTGGTTTTTAATTGGGGTTTATCTGCTGGTCTTCATGATGGTGAATGAAGCTCTCGAGCATGAACTGCTCTTCTCCCGTTTTTCCTCCCACATAATCGCTATTGTTTTCTATATCTCGACATTTAGTGGTAAAAACATCAATTAGTGGAGCGGGAAATGGGTTGCCATGACAACGGAAGCTGTTTGCCAAGGACGTCATTTCCATCCTTCATGCAGCAAAACGTTCAGAGATAAAACACTGATGTGTTGATGTTAGCTGTCAGCGAGCTCGTACACTCCCGAGAGCAGATTTTCACTTTGATATAATGAGCTTGTGTTTCTCCGGACGGCTCTGAGCTGATTATTCACGGGTTTCGCTCGGTTTGTGGGCCGTTTCCAGCTCATGACCTTTGACACACAATCATGAACCTCCATCGGTCAGGACACATTAACGGGTCAAAGACGAAGAAGGGTTTAAGCATAAAAACAATAAGTGTAATACTGCTTTAAATTGTTGTTGTTTTTCCCCCCAAAAATTAAAAAGTTTTCTGTTTAATTTAATTGCAATTTTGTTTTTGTTTTTCTGAGCAAAAAATAAATATGATACATTTTCCCCTGATTTACAGAAGGGAGCCACTAAAACCTCATTCAGTGTAACAATCTTGTCAGGCATATTTACAACAAAAATCCATTTATGACTAATTACTTTCACCCCAAACACTAATTAGTTGTAATTTTACGTTTTTTTATCCTAGCTTTTGCCCTTTTGTCAGTAAGACTTTTTTACTCATTTAAAACCCAATAGAATTTAATATGCTCACTCATTATTTTATATATTTTAGTGTGTACAGGTCAAAATAAGCATGTTGTCTGAATTTTTACATAACTGTAAGTGTTACACTGAATGACAATGTAACATTATTTCAACCAAATTGTAACATTGTATTCTCCAAAAACTTATTTGAAACCTTAAAAGTAGACACTTTACTTACATTCAATGTGCTTTCTGTGGACATATAATCACTTTTGTACATTTCTTTTGATGCGGACATCTTAACGTCTTTGACCCACATCCTCATTCTTATTTTGGAAAGTTTATATTGATATTTTTAACCCAGCATCATTTTTTTTTTGCACACCGGCAGAGTTAGTTTTAAGATGCGGGCTATCGTTCTGATCATCTCCAGCTTTCACATCTTCTGATCAATAAGAGGAACAGAGAGAGCACGCTTCCACGCACCTGCTGCTTCTTCCTGCGCAGAGAGAGCTTCGGCGAGAGACGCATGAGCGGATGAACCGAGTGAGACTGAGAATCAAACATTCACATATTCATACACATATCAGGGAATATGCATTAAAGACAGAATCCGCTGAGATGTTCATACCTTTCTCTCGACGGAGCCGACGGAGTTGTGTGCTTTAGAATAGTGAAAGAGAAACTGAAGAGCAGAGGAGACGGTCAGAGAGCACACAGCCGTCTGCCTGATCTATGTGATGTGTGAGTGAGATCTTACCCTCTTGAAGACATGCTGGATCTGCTCCTGAAGAGACACAGGTGAGAGAGTTCAGACGCGCTCGTGATGAGAGAGCTAGCAGCAGACACGCGTGTGAACGCCACTCACCTGCTCCTGATTCCTCCACTGCGCTCCACACAGAGTGCTTAACAGAGCCGAGCCCTGCAACACAGACTAACACTCTATTACTAATCAAAAATTAAGTTTTGATATATTTACGGTAGGAAATTTACAAAATATCTTCATGGAACATGATCCTTACTTAATATCCTAATGATTTTTGGCATAAAAGAGAAATGTATAATTTTGACCCATACAATGTATTGTTAGCTATTGCTACAAATATCCCCCAGCGACTTAACACTGCTTTTGTGCTGCAGGGTCACAGATATATATATATATATATCAGACTCAGAGATTTCCTTCTCCGAAAACCATAAAGAAACATAAAAATCCATCATAACTTGGAAACAACCTTAAATGATTCCTAAGGGAATCTTTTAAAAAGGATTTGATGAAAATTCAAGAAAAACGAGATTTAGATACAAGTATTTAGATACTTAGCTATTACTAGTTTTTATAAGTATATACTAGTTTTAGACACAAGAGACACATTGTGATGATAAAAACAACCGAGCCATAGGATCCTGAAATAAAACCTTTGGGATTCATTCATCTCAAAATACTGACGTTTCTGAAAATATTCAATAGAAAATCAAATAAGAATTACATTTCATCCATACAGGATCCTTAAGGATTCATTCTACATGATTCTCGAATTTTATATTATATTTAGCCTACATTATAATTTGAGAGTCACTAGTAAAGCTGATGAACTAGCTGTCTAAAACTCGTCACACAGATGAATTGGACACGCATGTCTAACTAACATGTGAGTGAGGTTACTCACCTCCAGCCGAGCAGAAGCTGCTGACCAAACAAACTAAAGAGCAGAAGAGAGCAAACACGCTCCCGCTCGCGCTGCCCATGTCCGCACTAGTTAGTGAGCGCCGCTGGAACTAGTGAGCTAGTGAACTAGTGAGCTGAGCTGGTGCTGATGCGGGAGGCTCTCAGAACAGCTGACCAATCAACACCGAGAGCGCATCGTTACCAGAGCGCGCGCTGCTCAGGGGTTCCACCCTCTTAATTAGGACTCGAAGTGACGTCACAACACAGGGCTGGTGCATCACGGAGACGTCTGCGTTACATCTGCATTACATCTGCAGGACGTGTTTTTTACACTGTTTGCTCATCTGCAACACGTCTATAGTCTAAATGTAAATGTCAGGGCAAAGCATTCTTAAAGTAAAGCTTACAGAATGTCTGACAACTTTATTAATATTTCTCATACTTTATTAGATGTTCTTAAAATGTTCTCGTAAATGTCCCTATGACGTTATTTGTTCTTGATGGATATCTTCATGTCACCTTTAAATAACGTTATAGGATCATGATAAGAAAACTGGACGTTTTAACGTCAAATAACATTGTATGTGGGGCAAAAATAAAGTTCGTAGAATGTTGTAAGAGACATTGTAGCCACCTTTAAAGGAGAGGTCTAATGCTATTTCATGCATTTTGACTTATTTACACACATGACGGAGTATTTCTGTGCCAAACACACTCCTTCAGGGTTTGTAGAAGTGAGTATGGTCCTGTCTGACGTCATAAAGGGCGGAATTCCTTATATGGGCACTTCTGAGCAAAGAGAGAAGCTCCAGCTGTATCTGTCTTTTATAAATCTGATCAAACTAAAGACTCTTCTGAGAAATGAAGGATGCAGTACTACTCTATAGGTGCTCAAGATTAACACGAGACTGGCAGAAACTGTGTGTGTTACGTCTGCTTTAAATAACATTATAATCATGAAAGAAAATTGGGCATTTCTAGAAACATTTCAAAACAAATGTTTTTGTTACATACGGTCTTGCCTCAAAACTTTTTTTCTTGGTTACATACCAATGTTAATGCAACATTTTGCAAACAATGTTACTTTTGAATGTTCTCTGAAAGTTCTGAAACAAGTAACATTTAAAAAAACGTTAGATGAACGTCCGACTAAAATGTTTCAGAAATTAAACATTCCATGAACGATGTATAAATAATAAAGTTTTCATGTTAACTTTGAATGAACGCTCTGTTAACATTACAGTTTGTTCATAAGTTTGAGAGAGCGTTTCGATTCAAGAGTTAGTTGACAAGTCAGGCGGTGTAAACTATTTTTTACAAATAATGTCTTTATTAATCACTTTGGTGTTTAAAAACTCCTGTATACTGTACACTGTAAATATTTTGATTAATCATGATTTCACTTTTTTATCTTCTAATCAACTTAGATTCATTAATGTTGTTCAGATAACATTACATTTTGTGTTTCAATCTCTTTCTTTGCATTAACTGAAATGAGTGTGTGTGTGTGTGTGTGTGTGTGAGTGAGCGTGCATGAGTGTGAGTGTGTGTGTGTGAGTGTGTGTGTGTGAGTGAGTGAGTGTGAGTGAGTGTGAGTGTGTGAGCGAGTGTGAGTGTGTGTGTGTGTGTGTGT